AACTACCATCTTCACAACTGTCTCGAAACAAAAAAACCCTCCTCATCCTCCTCCTCCTCCTCTTCCGCCGTCCCCCCAAAAACGTTGTTTTCATCGGGCCCAAAAAACGTTGTTTTCTCCCGTCGGGTATCCTGAGGTGCCCGAGAGGCCAAAGTTGTCCAAAGTGTTTGTTTTTGTTAGCCTATACGGGGAGGTAGCATCACGCATGGCTCAAGACTCGCTCGAGATTTACGGATGAGGGCAGAGGAGGAGGAGGAGGAGGAGGAGGAGGAGGAGGACAATGAGGAGTGGGAGGGTGCTGAAAACGACGATGGGGCGGATGACGAGGAAGATGGAGGACGAGGGGAGGAAGACGGAGGAGAAGTGTGGGGAGCGAGCCCTCCCGACGCCACCCCAAACATTTAGTGGCAAGGGAGTGGTTTACAAAAGAAAGTACAAGGGATCCTTGTACTCGTCCAGCAACTTCCCAAGCTCGATGCGGTCAGCGACCTTGCCCGTTTTCTTGCCTGCTCCCTTGGCCTCCTTGGCCTCCTTGGCCTCGCCCTTCTTGGCGAGCCCCACGCCGCGCGCGTCGATGTCAACGATCTCGAACTTCTCGGGGTCGTTGGGCTTGAGCTGCACGATGGATCCCTTCACGAAGCCCTTGTCGTTCGCCTCCTTCAGCAGGCCGTCGGCACTGCCCAGCTGGCGCATGGTGAGCGAGGGCGTGGACGCCTCTGCAGCGAGAGCCGCAGTCGTCTTCTCCCATGGGGCCTCCACCAAGCGGGCGTCCTGGTACTTGTCGAGCGTGTCAGCGATCAGCTGGTCTGCGATTGCTTCCAAGTTGGCCCACTCCTTCCTTCCTTTCACTTTTTTGGAGTGCACGTGCATCACCATGCGCACTTCCATCCCCCCTAGCAAGCGGCTCTTGAGAGCGGTCGGCATCATCGGCATGGCTGCGAACCACTTCTGTGCGCTGCGCATGAAGCTCGCCGCCTTCCGGATCATCATCTTCTTCGTGGAAGTCATAGCGGCTGTATCCGCTGAGGATAACAATCGCGCGTCGCCCGATTTGCAAAACACGTCGGGGGCCACGAGGTGCGCCTTGACGCAGGAGATCACCCACTCAGGCGCCTGCGCCAAGGAAACCGCTGCGAGGAGCTTGAATGTGATGCCAGAGACATTGCGCCTGTAAGCAATCAGCGTCCGCGAGAAGGCTTCCAAATCGTTCACGTAGATCGGCTTCGCTCCGCCGCTGTAGGCGGCGACGAAACTGCACATCGACTGGGCGTGGCCTCGAAGGGTCGGCTGGTCGCGCTCGATTCTCGCAGTGATCATGTCCCAGTTCGGCGTAGTAGACCTGCGCGCCATCCTGTGGATCTGCAGCAACGTCTGCACCGCTGTTGGGGTCCTCTGCAACCCCGCGCCAGTGTTGCCCGCGTCGGAAAGAAACCCTGGGAGCTCAGGGATTTCGGAAGCAACCTTGTGACCCAAATTCCAAACGGGGGAGGAGAGAGGACGGAGGAGGGGGAGGAGGGGGAGGAGAGAGGATGGAGAGGAGAGCGGATTTTGAGACTGGTCTCTTTTTGAGACGGGGGAGGAGAGAGGATGGATGACGGAAACGGACGAGGAGGAGGAGGAGGAGGTGAGGAAGGGGAGGAACGGAGTTTGGGTGCTGGAAGGGGGGTGGGGGGGAATTTGGGTCCCCGCCTGATGCTTAATCACCAGCCACTGGAGGCCCACTTCGCATGGCTCCTTGTAGGCTGGATTCAAATTGAAGATCACGCTCTGTGAGAGCCTCCCGTCGTCGCCGCAGGGGTCTTCGACGTGGGACTGGCATCCTACAATCGTGGACCGAAGGCCAAAGTTGGTGTGTGTCCGAGTCACAGATACCGCCTTGAACTCGCGTGGGCTCATGGCAGGAAGCATGCCTTCAGAACAAGCGTGGACCTTCTCTTGGAAGGCCAACTGCTCAGCGCCACGTTGCCCTGGAGCAACTTCAAATGCCCACGCCGAGTGTACTTCATTCCAAGACCAGCCTGAACGCAAACTGTCGTACAAGAGGGCGTGGCAATCGTAAGCGTCGATGCCCATGCCGAAACGATTGTCGATGTCACACCCAACACAATTCGGATGCAGTCGCACATGCTCCGCGAGCTTGTGCTTTAGCAGCGTGTTAACAATGTTGTCTGCGACGCTTTTCTTAGACTGCACGTTCTCGACGTCAGGGTCGTCGAAACTGTGAATGGCGTGGCGGATGTTGGGGCCGATCTCCGAGATTGAAGCACGAATCGAACTGTCAGCCGAAGTCATCGCAAGATGTACGGCCAAAAAAAGGACCACCAAGGAAACCGAGCTACTGAACCAAAGCGCTGCGGACAACGAGGCTCGCATGGCAAAAAGCGGGGGAGGAGGATGATGAGGATGAGGTGGGGAAGGGCACAGATAGCTCCCCTCGACGACCCCATCAGCATCCTCTTCCTCCTCCTCCTCCTCCTCCTCCCTTTCCTCCTCCTCCTCCTCCAGCTCCTCGTCCTCCTCCTCGTCCTCCTCCTCCCCCCTTCTCGTCCTCCCCCCTCCTCCTACTGCTCCTCCTCCCTCCTCGTCCTCCTCCTAGGCTCCTTCCCTTGCGCTACAACCGAGGACAAGTTCGAACGGTGACGCTCGTGTCTATAGGCACCTGGCGGAGTGAGCCACTCCCTGGCCCCAGGCCCCGTACATCTCTGGCCCCCTGTCCTCCTCCTCCTCCCCATCCTCATCCTCCGCCTCCTCCTCCTCTCCGACCTTGCCGAACGACCGTCAAGGGCACGGGATTCTAGTGGCCTGGCATGCAGAAGTGTTCAAACATGTGGCGCGTATCGTACTTAGCATGGTGAGCTAACCAAGGTGATCGAACAACTTATATCCAGATACCCTCAGGATGCAACTTAGTTACTAACCTCATGCAACTCCCACTCCTGGTTAGCTAAGTGGGTTGCTACTTAAGTTATACGTACGCCAACATGCGCGCCTGGTTAGCTAAGTTCGTGAAATGCTTGGGTGCACATACTAACCACACGCTGTAGATATATGTACGTTGCTGTGGTTACAACTCGGTTACGTGCTGGATATATGTTGTTTGCTAGCAAGATATACATGGTTATAGTCGCGGTAAACACATACTAACAGGGCCGCGCCTTCCAGTGGTGCTGGGAACAACAGTGGGATGTGATGTGGACGGTGGTAGGGACCGGGAGTCGTTTGCTGGCGGTGCGTGGGGGGAGGGGGGTCGAACCGGTAGTGGCCCTCCTCCAGTTTTGGAGGGGGGGGGGGTTCGAACCGGTAGTGACCCCCCCCGGTTTTCCAGATCCGGAGAGGGGGGGGGGGGGGGGGGGGGGGGGTTCGAACCGGTAGTGACCCCCCCCGGTTTTTCGAGGGGAGAGGGGGGGGGGGGGAGGGGGAGGGGGGGGGGTGCAGCAGGGGGGGGGGTGGGGGGGGGGGGGGGGGGGGGATTTTCGGAGGGGGGGGGGGGCGACCCCTGGGTTCCGGAGGAAAAGGCTGGCAATTTTCCATAGTAAAGCGGCGGTGGATCACGCTCTCTCACAGCTGCACATCCGTTGTATACACCTATACGTATACTTGGCAGACAGTACATACTTTACACAACCATGGAAGAATGATGTACATTCCAGACACTTCGCGGGAACCCATCAGCCCATCCAGAAACAATGCCCAGGGGAGTTGCCCTGATCAGGGATGTGGAGGGGCATGCCGTGGAGGAAGGGGTTGGGGAAGTCGCCATTTCCGAAGAGGGGGATGATGGAGGAGAAGGAGGAGGAGGACGACGACGAGGAGGAGGAGGGGATTGGGGGGGGCGGAGGAGGATAGGCGGATGAGGACGAGGAGGGGGAGGAGGGAAAGGAGGAGGAAAAGGAGAAGGAGAGGGAGGAGGATGGCGAGCAAAATGTCCAGAGGCCGTTTTTTGGATGCCTCTCGGGGTCTCTTCGGATGACCCTGGAAAGCTTACGGGGGTCCTCTTAGGGCGTCTTGGGGGCCTCTTGGCGGTCCCGTGTGCTTCTTGGCGCGTCGTCGGTGCCTTGGGGGGGCCTCGTGGGGCCTCCTGGGGGGTCCGTGGGAGCCTCTTGGGGGCCTCCTGGGCGCCTCTTGGGCCGTGTTGGGGCCCTCTTGGGAGCTGTGGGGGCGCGCCCGTCCCGTTCGGATTTTTCCCAGCGGCCAGGACATAGGCTTCCTGCCGCTTAGCATCTATAGTAGTAGGAGCTGTGGGGGCCATCTTGGGGCCATCTTGGAGGAGATCGATCAAAGCAGGAGGGTGCTAATTTCAGCGTGGCCCTCCAGGGGCCAAAATAAGCCAACAACTTTTGTAATCAATGATTGTTGTCAACTTCTCGCCGAGGCCTTCTTGGACGCCCCAATCGACCGCGAACCCCCCGTCCAGGTCTAGGGGGGGGGCAGGGCGAGGGGTGAACCTCTCACCGAAGGGGAGGAGGGGGGGCTGGAACAGGAAGCGCTCTGAACCGCTCACGCCCGAGAGGACTGGCGGGATTTACGGCCATCTCTCTCTCTCTCTCGCTCTCATTCTCCACCTCCTCCTCCTCCTCCTCCTCGTCCTCGTCCTCCTCCTCCTCCTTCTCCTTCTCGTCCTCCTCATCCTCCTCATCCTCTGCATTATTTTCCAACTCTTCTCCCCTCTTCTTCCACAACATTTCACCTCTCACTCTTCCTCCACCACCCGGCTCCGCACTCATTCATCCTCCCTGCTGCGCCCCCCTTCTTCAACCTTCCTGTCCCAGCCTGCCCCCATCCGGCGGCGTCGGCGGCCGTGCTGAGGGCGATCGACTGCGGCGGCGACGGATTCGGCGAAGGCGGCGATGCGGCGGCGACGGCGGGACGACGACGGCGACAGCGGCGATGTCGGCGGTGGCGGCAGCGGCGGCGGCGGCGAGGCGGCGGCGGCGAGGCGGCGGCGGCGGCGGCGCGGCCGCGGCGACGGCGACGGCCGCCGCCGTGCCCGACAGCCGCGGCGACGGGGCGGGCGGGGCGACCGCCCCCCGGGGCCGGGCCGGGCCCGCCCGGCGCGCCGCCCGGGCCGCGTTGGGGCGCGGGCTGGGAGCGGGCCCCGTGCGGGGCATGGTGAAGAAGCTCACGGGGAAGCACTGGGTCGTGAAGACGTCAGGCAGTGCGAACCCTACCCCTACCGCCCACGAGTTCTGAGGGGGAGGGTGGAGTTCACTTCGTTCGGGAGCTCCCGAGCGAAGTGAACCCCACCCTCCCCCTCAGAAATCGTGGGGGGTAGGGGTCGGGTTCGCATGTGGCCCCCTAGAGCAGGAGCAGGCAGGAGGAGGCCGAAGGATGCTGGCAAGAGGGTGGGCCCTTCTGGACCTTGGGCGCTGCGGCGCGGCACTGCGGAGGGTGGGAGCTGTGGGGTGCCAGCTGTGTGGTGGAAGCTGCGTCGCGTAAGCTGTGTGGTGTGAACTATGGAGGTGAAGCCTTCGGTGCAAGCTCTGTGGTGTAAACTCTTTCATGTAAGCTATGCGGTGTGAACGGGTGCAAGCTATGTGGCGCAAGCTCTGTCGCGTAAGAGATGCAGCGATGTTCTGGTGTAAGCTGTATGGTGAAAGCTAGGTTGTGTAAGCTCAGAGCACGCGGCTGCAACGCTGTGCAACCTCTGCAGACTCACCAGCGCGGGGCGTCCACGAGGCGGCACTGGCGGTAACGTGGCGCATCGTTGGCATGCCCCCCAAGCGCGGGGCGCTCACGAGGCGCCCGCCAGGCGGCACGGGCAGCAACTTGGTGAACCTCTGGGAACCGAAGCAACTACCCAATGAAAGCAAAGCCAGAACCCCTCAATGCAGACCCTTCGGGTAGGGGGGAAGAGGAGGAGGAGGAGGAGGAGGAGGAGGAGGAGGAGGAGGAGGGTCATATGCGGGATCCATCCCCCGCTCCCGTCCGCGCGCGCCTTGCGGAGTGCCCCGCGGGCCGGCCCTAGATGGCGAGAGCTGGCGTCATACCTCCACGAAGCGACACACCAATACCTACAGATTGAACCTCACGATCTGCAGGCTGAACATGAATGTGCTGTTCGATATGTCTTGTTGGGTATAGCCTCAATATATACCGTCCGAGCTTCGCGAACAACCAGTGCTACGAGTTCATCCGGCTATATGTGGAGTCCGACCGACAGGCGCAATGGTAAGTCTGAGAGCAGCGGCGGCCCTCGAGCGGATAGGGCACTGTGTCAGACACAGGCTCCAACCAAACCCAGAGGACACCATGATCGCCACCACTGCCGCCTACAGCAATGTAATGGTTACGCCGACGCCGCAAAACATATGAGATACGACGAGCTCCGCACCAGGCAAACTGGATTCGAAGGACAAAAGCTGCGTGACAGGCCAGGTCATGACGGCAGCGGCGACCGCAACCACGGCAACTACGGCCAAGAGAGCGGCGAGTACGACCGCGAGAACGATTGTTACGACCGCGATTGCGGGCATGGCAAGTACGACCGCGAGTACCGCAAGTAGTTGATCACAGATGTACCTTCCCAGGGCGCAGGCGGGCCCCCAGACGACATTGCCATGCAGAGCTATGATGGCCACCTGTGCCACGCGGGACCCCACAACTACGACGTAGGCTACGACGGCTACGACGGATACCTGGGCGATGACTGCAGGGGCACGGCCGCCCCCAGGGCGTCTACATCCCAGGCGAGGTAAGACGGGACTGGCTCCAGTTGCCCCCCCTCCCCATCAGATTCGGCGCCCGGCAGCTGGGTGGGCGACAACCCCGAGGAGTTGAGGGAATGACGAGGAGGTGCTGTGTTACCAGGGCTGCGGGCGGCCAAAGCATTGGCAGAGCTACGAGGGCCACAGGCGGAACTTCAAGGGAACGCGAAGTGCCACAAGAGGCCAGCGGCAGAGCTCGGGGAACCACCAGCAGGGTTCCGAGAGCCCCCAGCAGCGCTACAAGGGCCACGAGCAGGATTGCAAGGGCGACGAGCAGAGCCTCGTGGACCACCTGCAGGGCTGCACTTGCCACCAGCCAAGCCAGGAGGGCCACGCGCCGAACCTCCTGGGCAACGCGCGGAACTTCGATGAGCACAAGCTGAGCTGCGAGAGGCACCAGCTGAGCCACGAGGACCACGCCTTGAGCTGCGAGGGCCACAGGCAAATATACGACCACCAGCTGAGCTATGAGGTCCACCAGCTGGGCGACGAGAGCCATCAGACGAGCTACAGGGACAACGACCTGAGCGACGAGGGCCGCGAGATAAGCTTCGAGGGTCACGAACAGGAGCATCAGCTCAACTTCGAGGGCCACCAGCTGACTGAAGAACGCTTCGCGGTGGGCTACACAGGGCGCGGGCGGAGCCACGAAAGCCCCCAGCATTGCGGCCAACGCCGCGAGCCGAAGGACAGGGGCCACAGGCAGAGCTCCAAGATCCAATGCTACAGCTACGAGGGCAACACGCTGAGCTACGAGGGTCGCGAGTAGACTTTGGAGAGCCACCAGCTGAGCTCCGAGAGCCACCAGCTCAGCCACGAGGGCCACAAGCTGAGCTTCGACGGCCACAATCTGAGCTACGAGGGCACAGGCAGGGCCACGAGGACCACCAGCTGAGCTACGGGGCCCACCAGATGAGCCACGCGACGGCCGCAATCTGAACCACGCGGGCAACAGGCTGAACCTTCCAAACCAGGCGCCCGTGGATAACGAAGGGAGACGCGAGCAGCGCGAGCCCATCTGCACCGTGTAAGCCGTGCTGAAGGGTTTGGAATTGCTCAGGTTTATGATAGACGAAGGCGGAGCCATCACGGATAAAATCGCCACAGGAGCCATGCCAAGTTTGCGAACACCGTTCGTTTGTTTTCCTTAGATATATATATATATATATATATATATATATAAGATCGCACCCATGACATGACCGTCTGCGCCATTACGAGGACGGGGGCGAGATGTTCCGCGAGCTCGGCCCTTCCCGAGCCACCGCGGCGCCCCTTTCCGCTCGCGACCGCAACGAGGCGCGCGAGGACCTGATGCCTATGGGCCAGCGGCCCATGAATTGCCCCGCTGCAGATGTGCGGCGACGGCATGAGGATGCGTCAATCAGCAGCGACGAGGGCTCAGGCGTCGGGGACGGCAGTGCTTCCCGGAGCGAAGACATTTCGAAGGCAGTGCGCCGCGGCTTGGCCAGCGACGGCCCCGGTCCGCCTCTCGCAGCCATGCTGGAGTAGATGGCGAAATTGGCCAGACTGCATCTGGACGATTACGCGAACTTAGAGGGCCTCTACATGTTGCCACCCCTGGGGCCGCTTGGACTCCAGACGGTGCGTCCGTTTTGTCTGCCTCCTCGCGCAGGCGCGCATCGGGGGCGCGCCCTTAGGGCCCCGGGGGAGGGAGGACCCGTCGTGCCTTCCCGCGGGGCGCTGGGTGCCGGGCCCCCGACCGGGCCAGGAACTATCCGACCTCGCCAGATTTGCCCCCTGTCTCTTTGGGAATGAAACATCCTCTTCCTTCCATCTCTCTTCCTGGAGTGGGTGGACCAGAACGGCGCATTTGACTTTGCCGCTGCGTTTTTTTTTTTTTTTTTTTTTTTTGCCTTGAGGCGTTCGGTCAATGGAATCGCTATATAACGCCGCGGAAGAATGGGTAGGTGGAGGGAAACGATCCAAGTCTTCGCCGTCGGCTCGCGGGGAAGCACTGGGTTGCCAAGACCTCAGAGGCTTTCTCGCAGCATTATCTATTCGAACGAGTTGTGTGTCACAAGGGAAAGAATAGCCTGGCAGTCGCGAGTGCCGCAGTCGTAGGCATCGTCTCCGGTGGAACCCCCTCACGCGGCCGCGAAGCGCCGTGGCGGGCGGGGGGGGCGCGTGCGGGCTGCGACCCTGCAACCTTCGTTGGAGCCCCCCCCCCCCCCCGGGGCCAGCTCATGCCATGGTGGCTCGAGCTCAAGTTGCATGCTCAAGCGGGTATCCCACTCGCCATCTCTCCGCTGCTCGTTGCGCCGTTCTGGGCAGGCATGGTGGACAAGGCCACGCGCTCGGGAGGCCATGCGGGCTCGCGCCAGTCAAGCAGCAGAAGAACGAGGAGGAGGAGGAAGATGGCGGAACGGCAACGTCGGCGCGGGGCTCGAATGGCCAGATCGTGGCCGCGAGGGCCCGCCCACAATGGGTCAAGGGTTTCGACACCCGCATATCGCGACAAATCGACGGCATCACGACCGCCCTGAACGGAGTCCAACACATGGTCGACCAGGCGAGGACCGAATCACAGGACGCAAGGGAGGGCAGCGGGAATCTCCAGGAGAACATGGAGGAGGTCGAGATGAACGCGGAGAGTTTTTTTCGGAACGATCTTGGGGAGATGTATTTGGCCAATGCCGAAATCGTGGAGATTTTTGACAGGTAACTTCAGGGCGCGAGGGGCACCGCGAGACAATTAATTAATCCTCCAGGCGCAGGAGGAAGGAAGCAAGGCAGACGCGGACATGGGGGCACGTGCCAAGCAGGCAGTTGCTTGGAGGAGGTTCGACGGGGGCGATTCCGCAGAAAAGGCAATGAAGGATTTGGAAACGGCATTGCGGCAACTCTTGGGCGACCAGTCGGATGCAGCAGTCCTGGCAACTGGCCCGGCGAGGTTCGGCGCCGTCGAGCCCCCCCCCACCCGGTCGAAGGTCAGAATTTGCATCAAATTACGCAACGCATTCAATGATGACAAGGATGCGCTGGGGTGCATTTTCGCCCGGAACATCCTGACCAAAGAGGAAAGGGGGCGAGAATAACGACGCGGCTATGCGACGCGCAACTTGGCCCAGCACCCGCAGCATCGCAGCGCGGACATAAAGATTCTTTGACCGAGAAGTATGGCTGCGGCGAAGGGCGGGGCGCGGGGGAACAGGAAAATGGCGCGGCGCGACGGCGACGGGAAGTGGCGCGCGAGCAGGACTGGGAAGCTGGCGGAAGCCGCCGCGGAAGAATCAGCGCGGAAGCGGCTGGGGAAGGTGGGGCCCGATCCAGTTTCGGAAAGCGAGTGACGCCGCAATTACCAAGCAAATCTTGCAGTTTCGCAGCGCACCCGTGCAACTTCGACACCTGCAGCGTCAGTCTCCGATCCGTCTCCGACCCCAGACTCAGGGGCAAAATCGAGGCGGGGTGGGCGGGTGGGGTGGGG